CCTGGGAGCTTCTTTACAGTAAGGGTCCTTCCACCAGGACATGAAGTCAGGCATCTGAGAAGTGAGAGAAGTACTATGTGTACAAGAAATATGCCAAACATCTGCATCTCTGCCAACGTACTCAGTCTACATTTACAAGCACCTGCTGTGTGCTGGGTGCTGTTCTAGGAACTGGGGGCCGAGCAATGAACAAAAGAAAGAACCTCCCTGGTGGAGTTGACATTCTAGTGACAAGAGAGGCAGTAAGTACATAACATTGGAAATGATAAGTTATTTGAAAAGGAAGATGGATAAAGAGTGTAGGGCGTGCACTTTTACACAGGTGACCAGGGAAAGCCTCTCTGTGTAGGTGATATTTGACCAAGGCCTGAATGGAGTGGGTGTGAGCCGCAGGGATATTTGTGAGCTGAGTGCTCTCAGCAAGGGAATACGGAGTGAAGTGGGGCTGTGTTCGGCATGCTCCCGTGTATGTATGTAACCGCCCGACTATGTTATACTGTATGTCACCCAGTATGTCACTACTGGGTGCTTGTGCATTTGGAGTGTTGCAAAGTGAGGTGAAAAATGGGTTGTGCATCTGTTGCGGGGGGTTCAGGTGGTACGTTTGACAAGGAGTGTAACAGTGTGCTTTGTGTGTGTGTGTGTGTGTGTGTGTGTGTGTAGAAAGAGCTGCAGGCACATTAGCTGAAAGGAAATGTATCTATGTGTGTGCACGTGTGTGTGTGTGTAATAGCAATGGTATGGTTGTATCAGAGTGTGTTTTAGTGTGTGTGCAAGGGAAATGGTGTGGGGACGTAAGGGAGAGAGAGGAGGGAGAAAGTGTATGGGATGGTTTGTGTCAGGATAGGGCTGTGAACATGTGAGTGATGGGGGTTCTGGAAGTAGAATATATGCAGAGATGCCATGGTGTGTGTGTGTGTGTGTCTGAGCGCGTGTGTGTAGAGGGGTGTGGAGGTGCCTGGCTGTGTGGGTGGGGATGCTGTGGATCTGTTTTCTGGCCCCAGAGGGAGAGAAAAAGCCCAGGAAATATCAGTCCGCCCCGCCCCTGGGTCTCCTGGCAACAGCACCACTTTGAAGTTACCAGGAGACAGAGTTGCCAGGGCAACAGGGGTGAGTGGCAGCTGTGGGGCGAAGTCTGGGTGAGGAGACCTAGCCAGCCATCACTTAGCCACTCATCTTGTTCCCCCTCCTTTCCCAGTTTCTCATCAATCCTACCTTCCGTTCTTCATTCATTCGTTTAACAAGTATATATTGAGAATTTCCAATGATCTAGTCACTGTTCTGGGCGCTGGAGACACCGAAGTGAATAAGACAAACAACGTCTCTGCCTTGGCTGTCCCTTAGTCTCCCACCCCGTGTGCGTCTTTGTCTTTCCCGGCACCTTCTTTGGTCTATGGTCATGCCCGCCCCCTCACCCCAAGAAAACCCAAGGAGCCCCCAGGCCAAAGAGGAGGCCAACTGAGACTCCTCTTCTCACAGACTCAGAGATGGCTGCTGATATTTTGCCCACGAATGTTTCTGAGCCTGCAGCCTCCAACACAAGCTTGTGCCAATACTAAGGTGCAGAGAAAGAAGCACACAAGCTCCTCCATCACTCACCTTCTCAGTTGTCATTGGGTGACATCAGCAGAAACACACACAGACACATTCATCACAATATTCCTCTGATCATGAGCTCCATTTTACAGGGGAGCAGACTGAGGCTAGGAGGCTTTGAGTAATGTGTCAGTGATTAGGGCCTGTTTCCTTCAACTCTCGATCCTATATTTGTCTGATTAGCTGATTAGTTCACAATAATAATATTCGTGCTGCTTTCCTAAGCCAACTTGCGCAAAGAAGGGCCTTTCTCCCTCAAATGCCTCCTCCATTCCTGCTGCCTCAAACTAAGTTATTTGCCCCTTCACCGGGGGAGGAGCTAGTAAAGACCAATCTAACTTTGATGGCAGATCCATGAACCAATGGAGAAGCTAAGTGCATTGTAACCAATGAGACCTCGGCTTAGGCGGGATTAAGGGCAGGAACGGGCCGCTGATTGGACAGAAGTATGTTGCGAATGGCGGAGTCGCTGAGGCGGGTGCTGAACCTGGGCAGCTCGGCAGAGTCCGAGGAGGAGAACACAGCTGAGGCTGGGCCGCCCTTGCTGCTGCTCGGCGGTCCAGGGTCTGGAAAGACGGCGCTGCTATTTGCGGCGGCCCTGGAAGCGGCAGGAGAGGGCCGAGGCCCCGTCCTCTTCCTCACCCGGAGGCCTCTTCAAAGCCTGCCCCGCGGGAGAGGAGCAGCGCTCGACCCCCTGCGGCTACAGGTAACCGAGGGATGGGACCGAAGGCGGACTAGTTAGTACCTGAGCCGATTGAGGATTGAGTGACAGGTAGGCAGACCAATGGAGGGGACGAAGGAAGAGCGCGCCGAAGCGGCCATTGTGGGGCGGAGTCATTAATGAGCAGAGGGTGGGAGGGCGGGGGCGGGACCATAGGAAGCTTTGTCACGATTGGGAAACTGTCCCGAGGGGCGGAGTTAGC